GAGCACACTGCTAAGCAATGCCCTCTGCAGCTGCCACTCTAAGGTCCTAGGGCTGCAAGCGCAACAGTGCTGTCCTCAGGGTCCCACACCATCATGGCCTCGGCCAGCTGGGATCCTCGGATGTCCCCTCCAGTTCAGGCCAGTCCAATCCTGCAGCTGCTCAGGTCCGGCCTGGTGGCGAGGCCACAGGAGCCAGCAGCCGCCGACTGAGCAGTGCGTTGTGTCGCTGCAGAGGCGATGATGTCGGCCTGCTTCTCCACCACCTCCCCCAGGCTCCCCGCGGTCCTGAATCCGGTCTCCGAGGCCATACTGCTGGGATGGGCATAGAGCTACTCTTCTTCCAGCACATCAGGCTGAGGTTTGGCGCTATTAAATCTTCTAATTTTCACTGCATACAGGAGCAGCCAGGTCAGGCAGCAGAGCAGCTCCAGGGCCAGCACGGCCAGGATGAGCATGAGGTACAGCCTGCCGCGCCCGGGGAAGGAGTGCTGCACACCCAGCACCAGCAGCAGCGCCGCACTGCGGCCGAGTGCGTGAGCAGGGCCAGCGTCTTCAGGGGCCGGCCGCGTGGCCCGGTCGATGCTGCCGTAGCCACGGCCCCGCGCCCTGCTGTGGTGATGCTGGAGGCCGGCTCGAGCAGCAGGTAGAGGAGCCACAGCGCCTCCTTGCCAGGACAAGAGCACTCTGCGCCTTCAGCGGGCTGCTGTAGTTCCCCGGGCACCTGTCCTCCTTTGGGTCAGGGTACAAGCAGAGCACACCAGTTAAAAACACCAAGATCACAAACACCACGTGGACGAGCAGCAGCACAGCGGCTGTGAGCGCCACCGTGGGCAGCGGCTCGAAGCTGGGCCTGCAGGGAGTGCTGTGGGGGCAGCCGGGCGTGCAGCAGCGGGTCCTCCTCCACACTCTGCACGAGGTCCAGGGAGCCGTCTTCCATGCCGGGCCGCACTGCCATCTTCCGAGGCCGACGCATGGCCCCACTCCCCCTTATTTATTTCTTAAAAAGAATTTTAAAATATTTTTTAAAATTAGAAACAATACAAACTTTCACTAAGCAAAACAACGGGAATTCAACAATGACTGTCCTACAGCATACTGCTGGCTTCAAATTAGCTGCTCAGATCGCCAGATACATCTCCAAGAAATTAAATACTAACGCATGTCGGTGAGGCTGTGGGTGGAGTGGAAAACAGTACAACCACTATAGAAATGGGCAGATTTCTCAAAGAGCTAACAAGCGAAACAACACAACACACCATTTGCCTCAGCCAGTCCTACTCTAGGTATCTTCTCCAAAGAGCTACCGACGTCCTCTTACACTGTGACAGGCACGGCCGTGGTCACTGCACCCGGCTCTTGATAGCTAAGTCCTGCAAGCAGCCTTCACTTCCATCAACGTTCACATGATGAAGGAAAATGTGGTATTTATACATCATGGACTACCACTCAGCTACAGAGAAGAATAAACTGGAGACATCTGTAAGAACATGGATGCGCGAGAAAATGCAATGCGGAGGGACGCACACGAGACACACAGGCTTCGATGTCGCTTGGCATCTCTCATCGGAGCTCGGGGGAGGGAAAGACAGAGGCCCAGTAAAAGGAAACGGACACGGATCCTCTTCAAATGGGAAGGGGTCCAAGAGAATGAGGGTAGTGGGAGGGGAGAGCGGAGCAGGAACGGAAAGATTTAAGATGTGCCGTGTCCGTGCACCGAGCGCCCCCAAGGAGCAGAAGCATCACACGATGCGAACACAAACTAGTAGTGATAACTGCAACAAAGAGCATGGGGAAAAGGACTCTAGCGATGGGGGAGGGAGTTGGGGGGCAGGAGGGAGAAGGAAAAAGCATCGAGGTGTGCCACGCACATGCACCTGCTCCCTAAGATGTGTGTAAACTTTACGTGTCACAAACAGGTGCTGATAAAGTTAGATTTTTAACAAAGAATATCATTTAGCCGTGCAAGGAAGGCGGGAGTGATACGTGGTGCAGCCTGCATGAACCTTCGCTCAGGGAAAGCCAGCCATTCCCACTGGCCACACATTGCATGATTCCATTCACACAAGCTGTGCAGACAGGAAACTCCACCTGGAGGACAGCCCCTGGGGGCCTCAGGGTGGGGACACCAGCTCCGGGGTGGGCCTTCTTCCTGCGCTGGAGCAAACTTTCCCCAACTACGTGGGTGCAACAGCTGCCTGTCTGCCAGACACAAGCTACGTCCACTGAATTCTACACTTCACCAACA